ATATCCTGTCCTTCATGCCAAAGTAGCCCGGGGTGGCAAACACACCAATAATTAAACACTTTTAAAAAAAAGTTTAAAACGTTTTCTCAGCCAGTGAGGTTGGAAGGTCATCTGTCATGGATGCTTTAGCTGAGATTCCTGCATTGCAGGGGGTTGGACTAGATGACCCTTGGGTCCCTTGCAGCTCTATAATTCTATGATTTCAGGGTTGCTAGGAGCTAGGAACTATCTTTCAACCACAATTAAACAGAAAGAGGCCTCCTCCCAAGACTTATCTGGGTGGATCTGCTGTCAACACTATCCTTTTTTTCCCTTTGGTGTGCTCAGTTAAAATGATTATTAGACACTCACGTGTAAGTTGCATGAAGGTGTTTTGCATCTGGGTGCAGGGATTCCCAAATGCATTCAGTTACTGTACAGGATTCTTCCCACCTGCATTACAGCAGCTCATTCAGGGATCCCCCAGATGACCTGGTTACCCAGCATTCATCCTGATTTTCTTGCACAAAGCTCACATGAAAGTTAGATTATATCCAGTCTTCATTGAACATTTGTGATGTTTGTGCACTTAAAGGTAAAGGTAAAGGTACCCCTGCCCGTACGGGCCAGTCTTGCCAGACTCTGGGGTTGTGCGCCCATCTCACTCAAGAGGCCGAGGGCCAGCGCTGTCCGGAGACACTTCCGGGTCACGTGGCCAGCATGACATTGCTGCTCTGGCGAGCCAGAGCCGCACACGGAAACGCCGTTTACCTTCCCGCTAGAAAGCGGTCCCTATTTACCTACTTGCACCCGGGTGTGCTTTCGAACTGCTAGGTTGGCAGGCGCTGGGACCGAGCAACAGGAGCGCACCCCGCCGCGGGGATTCGAACCGCCGACCTTTCGATCGGCAAGTTAAATTCGATCGGTTAAAGCCTCAGCGCCACTTATACAACCAGAATTCATCCTGATTTGCATGCAGGGTGTTCATAGTGAGCCTGTATCTGGTGGGTTATCTACTCTCTGTGTGGTGACGTGACAGGATGGAGGCATTTCCCCCTTTGCCATGTGTGGACTGTCTGCCCCTACAGAGCTAACATGGTGTTGGTATCAGCATACTTTCTGTGAACACTGTGTGCCAAAGGTGCTGCCAAGTGAGGTAACAACTGTCTCTAAAATTTGTTTTGCTTTGATTTTCTTCTCCACATTGATTTTGGAGGATCCCAACTAAGTTAAAACAAAACAATACCTGTGTGTATGTAAGTGACCACCAGTAGGATTACAGAAACACGCTGTTCAACAAATAAAGGAACAGGTGGGGCTTTTTCTTTGTGAAGGATGATTGAGTCTAACATACCATGAGAAGGTATTCATCAATGCCAATTGGCAACTGAAACTCAGCTAAGTCTTTTGTTCAGTGTGCTTTAAGTCATATGGCTTTAAGTCATATGGTTCAGTTTATGTGGTTTAAACACCCCCCCCCAAAAAAAAACCCTAACCACCTCTGAAATATCTTTGAGGCATCAATTTAGTTCTTCATGGAGCCTATAATCTAGATTATCACAAAGTACATTCTTCTGTTATTCAGACTAATCTCTGAAGGATTCTGCCTCAGTTGTTAAAAAGGTCAAAACAGCATTATAATTAAACGATTACACAATATGTGAAAGCTAGGTTCTGTGAAAAGCATGTTTCACTCCATGTATCACATTTCTTTAACCATATGATTTCCTTTCACTGAACATCATATAATATGTCATGGGTCGGCAAACTAAGGTCCGTGGGCCGGATCAGGCCCAATTGCCTTCTAGATCCGGCCTGTGGACGGTCCAGCCTTTGCAGGGCAACATTCCAGTCTGTGCAATCTTCTGAGAGCCACATGACAGTAGCTGGCACAGTTAGGCATTATGTGAGTTCAAAGACACATTCCAGCCAGGCAAAAACCTTAGAGGTGCAGAATGGGGCCAGTGAGGAGTATCACCCAGGGAGAGCCCCAAGGGCCAGATACGGAAGCTAGCAGGGCCACATCTGGCCCCTGGGCTGGAAGTTCTCTTACTTCTGCTTTAACAGATTAGCCAACAAGCAACCTCATGAGCTAAGCAGTCTTTTTGCAGCTCCTCTCTAAATCCAGATGTAGCTCTTCTTTAATAATGTGTCCTGAAGTTTATACTGAACAGTCATATCATCTATTTCAAATATGTATAATTGTGAGGGGCCTGGTGGTTGTTGTTTTTAAAAAAGTGATAGCAGCTTTGCAAGTCAACTACTTTTAGCCACAACATCTATACATTATAATACTAAATTTAAATGAATTTCACTCAAATGTCAAATTTACACTAGCAAAAGCCTTACATAAGATTTTATAAACCCTGTTTTATGTAACCCCTTCATGGATTTCTTGATTAAATAGTAATTTTAACCTTTGCATGTTTAAAAGCAGGGTTGTACATTTTTCTTGATTTTACTGTTTTATCTTTTACAAACCACTTTGGGTTTTGTTTTGTTTTTTTACAATCAAGCGGTGTATAAATTTCATGAAATAAATAAATAAATAAAAACCTTGCTAAAGATATACCTAATTTTGCTTTAACCAATAGGCCTTCAGATAGAATCTTATCAAAAGATGAAACATATTATTTTGTTAAATAATACCATACCACCGGATAGTAAAAACTCTGTTTCCAGCTGGCCCTACTGCAGTTGCCATGTCTGGAGGAATCCCATAGGGCTTATCAGACCCTTATGTTCCCCTGCCCGCTTCTTCCTTGGCACAAGTGCAGACAGCTTGCCAGGCCATCACAGGAAATGGGAAGCACCTCTCAATCAAGGAACGTGAACTGGGAGGGCTGGAGAAGCACACACCTGTTTCGCATTCTCTAGGATACAGCCTAGGATACGGAGTGCCCATGCACACATGCTCCAAGGGAAAATGGAAACAAAGCTCTACTGTGGTCTACAAGAACATGTTTTGTCACACATGGTTAATAATAATAATTTACTTCCGGGTTGGCGCCATCGCCGAATGGCAGATTCCCTCCGAGCTCCGGAGGGAATCTGCTCAGCAGGGGTCGGGTCCTGTCGCGCCAGCGACGCGGGGACCCTCAAAAACCACGGGCGCAGAAGCCCGTGGACCTGGTGACTCGGCGGGCACCGTTAGCGCCCCCCGACCCGCGAAGGAGCCTTTTTAAAGGCTACGGAGCGGGGGACGGGGAGCGGTGCTGTGAGTCTTCTGCTTCCCCTGCCGAGCAAAGCCGCATGCCACTCGACGGAGAGCACTGACTACTTCTTCTGAAAATTTGGACTAAAAACTAAAAACAACAACCCGTGAGTAATTTGGAAATTGGACTAAAAACTTTTTTGGATTTGGTACGAGCGGGGGAGGTGCAAAGAGGAAGTCCGTCTCCCCCCCCATTGTAAACAATTTAAAGCAAGGATTTGACAACTAAGGTCGAGTGAAGAGCCTTTTCTTTATTGGATAAAAGTTATTAATTGCACGGATTGATAGTATAAGTAACTGTGCTGGAGGATAAGAGCTAACTTTCTGAGTTGAAGTGCCACCCCCCCCCCCGGGACCGGGAGTGATCCGCGAGAGGAGCCTGCTGAGTAGACACAGAAGATTTTGACAGCTGTCAGATTAGCTGTCAAAGTCGGAAAAATAGAGAACTTTATTTCTGATGTTCTTGCCGGTTACATTAGATACAATATAGTTACAAGTTGCTGAAAATAAAGAAGGACTGAAACAAATTTAACTTGACTTTTGGGTTGGAAGTTTGGGTTGGGTTGGAAAAGGACTTGATGTACAAAACCCAGGCAGCTGAACAAGAAAAGAAATTAGAGAAATTTGAGGAAGTGGAGAAAGAGATACATGTTGAACAGGAGGAGCAGGAAGGAGGGGCTGCAGTGTTGCAGAAGGCAAAGGAGAGCCGGAGGCCTGTCAAGATGGATGAAAATAAAGACTGGAAGAGGAAAATTTGGTTTGAATTTAAAAATGAGGAATGGAAAGATCTCCTTTTGTGGGGATCTGAAGATCTATGGACTATAAATTTGACCAAGGTGGAAGTTGGAGCCTTTGGATTATTTGGACTTACATGGATTAAAAAACAAGATTTGAGCTCCACCTTTAAACAGGGAGGTCTGGCTGAAAGGAACATGGACATTATAGGGATAGTGCCCCTCCGAGACTTGGTGTTAAATACAAAGGACTTCCAAAGAAACCGGCAGAGAGGAACTGAGAGAGATTTAAGGGCCTCAGACGTGAGGTTGCCAGGCTGATAGTAGATGGACTAATGGACAACGGTTCGGGGATTGAAACCGGGGAAGGGAGGGTGGGGTTTGGAAATCCAAAGGGTGTCTGACTTTTTCTACTTTTTTTCTTTAATTTTGAGTTGTTATTAGTATAAAAATGGGGAATTCGTGGAAGGGAAACTGGGTCGACCCTAGAAAAAAATTTTAAGCATAAATGATTGATGTATATAAGTTAAAAGTTGATATATAAATTGAACTAAATATAATAACAAATTAAGGTTAAAAATTTAGGGATAAGAACTTGTTGGATAAATATTTGGACATGGAATACAAGAAGGGGAGGTGAGGGGAAGTTGTGGAAAGAAGTTACTGAAAATTTGGACTGTAATGGTTGAATCTTTTTTTTCTTGTTTCTTTTTTTTCCTTTTTCTTTTTTGTTTTTTGTACTATTTGAAACTTTAATAAATATTATTTTTAATAATAATAATAATAATAATAATAATAATAATAATAATAATAATTTATTTATACCCCACCCATCTGTCTGGGCTTCCCCAGCCTATCTGGGTGGCTTCCAACAAAATATTAAAATTCGGTAATCCATCAAACATTAAAAGCTTCCCTAAACAGGGCTGCCTTCAGATGTCTTCTAAAAGTCTGGTAGTTGTTTTTCTCTTTGACATCTGGTGGGAGGGCGTTCCACAGGGCGGGTGGTTAAATATATTATAGTTTTGATTTATTTATGTGTTTATATAATATTTAACAATTCAAACAACTAATCATTCAGCAATTTGGAGATTTACTATTTTCATTGCTCTCAAAGATATCATGAACATAATTATTTTTTAAAAGGGCAAAATGTGTCCCTATTATTAACTTCTTAAACATAATCAATTATGATTTCTTGTGATACACTTTAATATAGGTTAAGTCAATAGCTATGCCAGAACAACAGCAAAACTATTCTGTTAGCATTTCAATGACTCATATCCCCAGAGTTTAAGATCATAATTCAAAGTAAAAGTGTCCCTATTAAACACAAAACAAGTTTAACAATTCAAGTGAATATCCCTTTTAAACACAAGTTGCTTGAGATTGGCTTGCAGGTCTTCATCCAAGGATCCCAGTATATCCAAGTACGTATGCTGGCAGGTCCACCATTTACTTTTCTAGAATATGGTAGTGTACAGTGAAAAATAGAAATTTATACATTTAAACCAAGCTGTATCTTTACACTTAACAAGTATCTCACATTCATTGTAAAACTAATTAATTTTATAACTCTGCAGAGTCTAGAAATCTAAAATTTAAGAAAAATGAAATAAGCACAAAAACACTCAGTAGTCTTAAAAAGACAATTAAAGCTCTTTATAATACAAAAGCTATTACTGCTTATGACGGGCCAACTTAGACAGGGGGTGGTATGCAATCTTAGACATACTCAGAGTGAAACCATCAAAATCAATGGACAGGTAACTTAAGTCCATTGATTTTAATAGGCTTACTCAAGAGTGTGAGTTGGATATCACCCAATGTTCCACCCCGCCTTGCAAAAAACAGCACCTTTCTGTTTTGTCTTTTTCCATCAAGGTTGACTGTATTTTATACAAGGTTTACTGGCAAACCTTCTTGCAGTTTTATTAGTAAACATCTAGCAACCCATTTATTGAACACACCCCATTTTCCCCATTTAGAAGACCAAGGTAACACAGAACATTTAAAATAGGGATGAGGAACCTGTGTCCTTCGGGTGTTGTTGGACTAACCGCTGGTCCTGATGGCTGGGGATGGTGAAAGCTGGAGTCCAACAACATCTGCAGGGTCACATGTTTCCCATGCCTTAACTGAAACACAGAAACACATTATTACAACAATCACTATATAAAAGAAAGACATATTTTAAAAAAAACTAAAATAAAAGTTTTGATAATTAAATTCTTTAAATATATCACCCAATACAGCTGTCTCATAACTGCAGAGCCATTGCCACGAATGGGCTGTAGCTCAGTGGCAGAACACATAACTTGCATACAAAAGGTCCTAAATTAAATCCTTGGATCTCTAGGCAGGGCTGGAATAATTTCTTAAATGCTGGGGTTGATTTTTATGTCATCCCATCTCACAGTCTAGTCCTGCAGGCAATCAAATCTTCTCACATTCAGCTACAACTTCAGAGTCCTAGAATCATAGAGTTGGAATAGACCACAAGGGCCATCGAGTCCAACCCCCTGCCAAGCAGGAAACATTTCATTCCTTGTTAGGAATGAAAATACTTCAGAAAGCACATACAGTGGAACCTCAGTTTTCAAACGTAATCCGTTCCAGAAGTCCATTCAACTTCCAAAACGTTTGAAAACCGAGACTCAAAGGGCTGTTGGCAAAGTGAACGGAGAAAAATGAGAAACGCGCCTCGGAAGCCATTCGACTTCCGAGGTGCATTCGAAAACTGAAGCATTCACTTCCGGGTTTTTGGCGTTCGGCTTCTGAAACGTTCAGCGGCCAAGATGTTCAAAAACCAAGGTTCCACTGTGCATCACATAACTCAAAAGAGGCATGCTTAGCTATGTATATCATTATAATGCCTTACCATAAAAGATTTAGCCCAGGAGCGACACAAGCATCACAATACCCATGAACTGGACAAAGAGCACCACAGGTGTGAGGAAAGACCATATGGGCCATAAAGAAATGTTAAAACTGGGGAAAGAAAGAGAGAGAAACATGTAGCATATGTTGCAAGAAGTAGAGCATATTACAGTACAGGCAATTTGAGAACCAGCCAAATCCCAAAGTGAGACAAGTTTCACAGTATATTTGAACTGAGATACCATGAGAACATTCCTTTACACATAGTCTCCAGAAGAAGAGGTGTACAATGTGCAGAAGATATCCACATATATTTGAAACTTATGTCTCAGTATCCAGAGTCTTCAAGGCAAAGTTTTGTTATGGCACGTAGGACCCTGGCACCCCCAGGAGTGGACTGGCCACCTCCCCCATGGCTTGGGCAGGGAGAGCCTATCTACCTGCTTCCATGCGCAGAAGTGGACCATTGTTTCCTGCATAATTGAAGCAATTCTCAGCCAGCCACACAAGACAGACAGGCAGCCACTGCATGTTTTCAGAAGAACAAATATGTGTGTAGTCTGCTATTACTCCTATCTGGGGTCCATATGTAACACCTTTCCCTCATCATTTAACACACAGACTTTTTTGAAGCAATGTAAGCCTGGAAAACTAGTATCTCTTACCCAACAACTTACCAAACTGCTGCCGCAATAAAACTAGCTGTTGTTATAGGTATCAGTGCAGGGTAGGTGGCATCATAGTCCTCGATTCCATGATACCACTCAAGATATATTATGCAATAAAAGGCCACAGACAAACTGATAATCAATAAGCAAATGCCGAGTATAAACCACCAGCTGCAAGAGAAAGAGAAAATGTGCTTTAATAATGTTAAAAACAAAAATACATTGAATTTAACATTGCCTCAGATCACATTATGCTCCAAGCCAGGCCTCTCTTAAGATGCAGGAAGCAACATACCTTATCTGCCTTCTGCTACTGCATCCAAATTTTGCAGTACTCCAACTTCTAACTGGCTCCCTATTGAGAAGAGGTCCTCACTTTCTGTGTGTGGAATTCTTAGACACGGGGCTTCTTTAATCAACAAAGATGGCAGGCAGCACTGATTGTTCAGTCATTGTACGACAGGAGAGAAAGCAGAACAGGAGATGGGAAGGAAGGCTAGCTAGGGAATGGAAATTCTTAATAGGTTATCTGACTACTTTTTACTAAGACACACTTGTCTGCTCATGCAGAACTAAAAGCAATGCTGGGATTTATCCTGACAGAGTGTAGGGGAGCCCTAAACAGAAAATGGCAAATTTCAATCACAAACCCAAAGGGTGCCAGATGTGGAGAAGTTCTCCTAAAATATAAACTCCACTCGTATTAGACGTTAGGACACATTTCTACATAAAACAGTGCTGGTTTCAGCTGGGTGTCTTACTGTATAATTAGAAAGGTATATGGAATGGGGGTTGAAGCATAGAGTGTATCTGATCTAAGAAAGCTGCACCAAAATTACTCCATATTTCTTTTATCAGATCAGAATAGAAGAAGACAATGAGGAACTGCCATTTTCACTCGCTGCTGTTCTTAGCAACTAAGATGGATCCCTCCTCCCTCTCACACAGATGTTTCAAGTGTTTTAAATTATATTTCTTACTGTTATGTTATACTGATTAATCTACAATAAAGTTTAGGGAGAATCCAACTGAGTTTGTACTGTAAATACCTTTGTGTAACTTCTACTTGTAAACCCTCCACCAAAAAAACCCACCACCTCTTCTCCTTACCTTTCTTGCTGAATAATCTCTTTAACAACTTTAAAAAATTCAATGTAGTATGTAGTAGCTATTGATGCCAATATCCAGAATGCAGAGTGAATGTTAAGTCTGGGAAGCGGCTTCTCCTTCTTCTCTACGCTGGTAGTTTCAACTGTAAATAAAACCGCCGTTATTTTGCATACGTCATTAAACGAGACACCACCTTGCAGAAGTAAAACATGCACACCAGGTTTCTAAATCATTCTTTGTTGCAGTGCAAATGCCTATCACCTCATCCCAGTTGGCCTTGAAATCTACATGACTTCTCAATGCTCTGCTCATCTTAATCATAGGCATTTGGCAGCAGGGTGGTCTATTTATTCTGGCGCAGGCAAAGCAGGGTGTGCACTCAGTGGAATAATCTACATGGCTTGGGGACAAAAGTGGTAGTGGGTACCTCTAAGTCATGTGGCAGAGGGACCTACCTGTGGAAAGGAAGGCGCAAAAAGGTGGGGGTTGAGTAACTCCTTCCTCCTTTCCCACACCCTTGCAGCCATTAGTTTATCACAAGTTCCCACTTGTCATAACATATTGTTGACAATATACTTTGCTGGCTGCCTGAAATACAGCAGAAACTATTATATGACAAGAGGTTAAGCCAATATATTACTACATATTTTCAGTGTAATAAATAAATCCATAAGTACATGGATGGCTTTGAACGTTCAGTAACCTCTAAGGTCTAAGGGGTTAACTGTAGTTTGGGGTACTCCTGGATCCAACAGGAGGCTTTTGGGGCTAGGAATACTGTCCTAGCTTTAACTGGTCCAAAATGCTGCGGCCGGATTGCTGGCTAGGGGTTCCATTTAGAACTCATATAACACCTCTTTTAAAACAGCTGCATTAGTTGCCTGTAAGTTTCCAGGCTCAATTCAAGGGATTTAGTTTTAAATCCCTAAGTGACTTTGGCCACAGATACCTGAAAAAACACCTCCTTCCCTACAAGACCCCCTTAGGCATTAAGAGAAGCAGAGTGGGCCCTCTTGATAGTTCCACTGCCCTCCGAAGTATGGGGTAGTGGCCTGGGAGAGGACATTCTCTGGGCAGCCCCTAAGTTGTGGCATTCCCTCCCCACAGCTGGCATCGTCATTACACAGTATGCTGAAGGCACAGACCTGTCCTCTGACCTTGGACAGTTGACATGACTGACCCAAGACATTTTGGCAACTGAGGAAGACCCCCAAATGGCTTCCCACACCCTGTCAGGGAAGAAGGGAGGAGTGAAGATCTACATCATGGGTGGGCCAGCCCTGATGGTTGAGATATGTATTTTAAGACCCACCCTATTCTTTTGACTTAACCTGTTGCCGTATTTTTTAATGGCTGACCCGCCCTATGCTATGATGAAGGGTGAGTAATATATCAGAAAAAGGACAAAAGCCATTCACTTCCAGAGCTGGGCCCAGGCATGTGACCTCCTTTACCGGATCAGGCAACCCCTTCAGGAGGGGCTGCCTCCCGGCAGTCTTCAACACTTCCACTCTGCACGACTCCTTGCCATGGTGAGTCATCCATTGCCCTTTAGCAATGATAGCTAGCCAAACCTCACCTTTCATCCTCTGCTCGGAGCTGGGAGATAAAAGCAAAGGTATCCCTCGTGGACACACTGAGCTAGGAAGCTACGGAGGGTGATCCTCGCCCAGGGAACAGGAGGTAAAACTGAAGCTCTTGGCATAGTGAGCAGCAGAAGTGACCTGAGAAGCGTCTCCACTGCCCAGCACAGAAGCAAATCCTCTGAAAGGGACGCTGGAACAGGGTGGTAGGTGGCAAGGGGATTTCAAGCAGGAGCGCCAGCCACAGTTCAACGCTGGGTTTGCCAAACAATCCTAGCTTCCCTCTTTGGCTCTGCTGGGTGGCAGAGTGATGGTCCTCCAAGACGTACCCTTGGTGCACCAGCGGACCAACACCTTGGCTGCCTCCGAGGGCTGGGTGGCAGCAGCGCTGCAAAGGCCGCTGCCACTGACCACCACACAAACAAGCCCCTTAGCCTTCCTCACCCCCCTGAAGCCAGAAATGAGGGCAGGGTATGCCTAGTGAGGCTAAAACCCCTCTTCCAAGACCAGCTTGGAAGGTCCTCAAAGCTGCGCTGGGATTCCAAGGGCCTCAATGCATTTCATGCGCAGGTCCTTATGCACACTTAAATGCATCTGCTTGACCTCCCCAAAAGCCCTCTATGGCTTGGATCCAAGCTGCCTGAAATACTGCGCGCCCTCATAGGAACCTGCCAGGGCTCTTCGGGGGAGGCCCATCTCTCAGTCCCGCCCCCCTTGGGCTTCCTCAGGGGGGAGGCTCCCTCCCAGGCAACTTGGGAACTCCCTGCCGGGAGAAGCTGGATGGCTTCTTATCCCAACAAGTTTTGGGGAACTGGCTGCTTTTATCAAGAGTCGCTTGCGCCCTGTCATTTTTATTATTGCAGTTATTTGTATGGTTTTAACAGCACACCCACATATGTAGTTTTGATTCTATCGGCGTGTAACTTGTTTGTTTGTTTGTTTGTTTGTTTTGCAATGATAGCTACTTCCCCACCCCCACCCCACCCCCGAGGTTTTTAGCTGTTCCTCCTTTTATCCTGGGTTCCTGTCAGGGAAAATGGCGGGGTATGAATTATAAATGCACAGCAATAATTCCAGGTGCTCAGCTCGCGCACAGGCGCATTTACCCCGGAGCAAGCGCCGCGGCTCAAAGCGAGATTTACTTCCGAGTAGGCACGCGTGGGGCGGGGGAGAGCGAGCCCCGCGCCCATTATTCACCCCGCGCTTTATTTTGCTCCACTTTCCGGCTTATCAAGGCCGCCCGGCCTGCCGCTCCTCCCGGGCGGCCTTCCTTCCTTCCCTCCTAAGCGGGGCGACCTACCGGCCTCGCCCGGGCCCGGCGGCTGCTGCTGCTGCTGCTGCTGCCCGCCGAGATGCCGCCTCAGCCTCAGCCGCGGATCGCGCTCCTCCTCCTCCTCCATCTTGGGGGCCGCGGAAGTGACCGGAGCCGAGCAGGAAGGGAGGCTGGATGGCGGCGGCGGCGGCGGCTGCTTTGCCCGGGATCCGCCCGCTCCTCCGCCTTCCCTCCGGCCGGGCGAGAGAGATTCCCTTCGCGCCCTCGGCGGAGTCAGAAAACACTCAATCCCTCAGAAAACAAAAAAAGATCCCCGCAAATATTCCCCTCAGAGCTGGTCACGCGAAGGGAGGAAAGGGAAAAATCCACCTCGCCGCTTCGGAACCTGCGAAAGTTAAAAGGCTGAAACGGATCGATTCTTAATCTTTCTAAGCTAAAGCTGCGGCTTCGTGGTATTTTCTATCCTGCAGTTCGAGGCAGCGTTTTTTTATATATAATTTTTATAAAATTTTCTGTCTTACAATTTAAAATACTCATTTTACGTTCTTAAGATATCAATGACTTCCCTTCTTCTCTTTCCATTGTTCATTTTACATATCATAAATCCCTGCATATTTTACAAAAACTATACCATCCGGTATTCCATTATTGCATCCTTCAAAACTTATTTACACAGTTGAATTTATCTTAATGCTGCCAGCGTATTCAGCTGTACACAACTATTTCCCATATACTGTATTCAATAGATGTTTTCCAATCTTCTTTAAACGTACATTCTTGTAATAATAATAATAATAATAATAATAATAATAATAATAATAATATATTATTTGTACCCCACCCATCTGGCTGGGTCTCCCCAGCCACTCTGGGCGGCTTCCAACAAAATATTAAAATACAATGGTCTGTTAAACATTAAAAGCTTCCCTAAACAGGGCTGCCTTCAGATGTCTTCTAAAAGTCTGGTAGTTGTTGTCCTCTTTGACATCTGGTGGGAGGGCGTTCCACAGGGCAGGTGCCACTACCGAGAAGGCCCTCTGCCTGGTTCCCTGTAACTTGGCTTCTCGCAGGGAGGGAACCGCCAGAAGGCCCTCGGAGCTGGACCTCAGCGTCCGGGCAGAATGATGGGGGTGGAGACGCTCCTTCAGGTATACTGGGCCGAGGCCGTTTAGGGCTTTAAAGGTCATATCTGGTGACTGGGAGCCAATGTAGGTCTTTCAAGACCGGTGTTATATGGTATCGGCGGCCGCTCCCAGTCACCAGTCTAGCTGCTGCATTCTGGATTAATTGCAGTTTCCGGGTCACCTTCAAAGGTAGCCCCACGTAGAGCACATTGCAGTAGTCCAAGCGGGAGATAACTAGCAGTGTTTCCCAACCTTGGGCCTCCAGCTGTTTTTGAACTACAATTCCCATCATTCCTGACCACTGGTCTTGCTAGCTAGGGATGATGGGAGTTGTAGTCCAAAAACAGCTGGAGGCCCAAGGTTGGGAAACACTGAACTAGAGCATGCACCACTCTTGGGAGGCAGTCCATGGGCAGGTAGGGTCTCATCCTGCACACCAGATGGAGCTGATAAACAGCTGCCCTGGACACAGAATTGACCTGCACCTCCATGGACAGCTGTGAGTCCAGAATGACTCCCAGGCTGCGCACCTGGTCCTTCAGGGTCACAGTTACCTCATTCAGGACCAGGGAGTCCCCCATACCCGCCCGCCCCCTGTCCCCCTATGCTGTTCTGCCTGTAGTTATCTTTAATCCTGCCATTGCTTGAAGGAGTTTGGGTCAGTTTACATATGGTATCCTGTTTTATCCTCACAACAGCCCCGTGAAGGAAGGAGGCTGAGAAAGTGGCTAGTCAAAGGCCAGTGGGCTTTGTGGCTGAGCAGGGATTTCAAGTCCAACACACTCTTGACTCTCTAATCCTTTAATCCACAGGTTTCGTTCATACTACAAGAAGCTCGTTCATACTACAAGAAGCTGCTCCAACATAAGAAATTGCTCTTTGCGAAAGAACGCTGGACGGCTCTGTCAGTGGCCATTAAAACCCGTGACGACAAGAAATTTTGGAATTTAATTAATGCAGGTTTAAGACCCCCCCCCCTCATTCATTGTTAATAACATCACAGCAGCCAGCTGGCACTCTCACTTTGCTCAGCTGTTCCGACGTAAATGTAGTCACCACTCTTCCAGCATCTGCCTTGCCCACCTGGGAGCCAGTCTCCCCAGAGAGATGTACACAACTAATTAGCATGCTATCAGGGGATAAATCCCCGGGGGAGGATATGATACCACCTGAGGTATTCTTATCGAACCAGTCGTGGTGGGCCCCTATCTTAGCATCTCTCTTTACCACTATTAATGCTACTCTTAAGATTCCACCTAACTGGAAACAGAGCATAGTCATCCCAATACATAAAAAGGGGGACCCACAAGATCCGCGTAACTACCGACCTATCAGCCTGTTGGACATATCATACAAGGTTTACTCTAGATTCTTGCTAGAGAAATTAATCGAGTGGGCAGAAGAAACAAAGCTATTCCATCCGGAACAGGCTGGCTTCCGTAAAGGTCACAGCACATCTGGCCAATGTCTTGTTCTACTTACCCTGATTGATAAATACCTAAACAGGTTCAACTGCAAACTACACGCGGCTTTTGTGGACCTGACCTCTGCCTTTGACTCCATTCCCAGAGATAGGCTATGGCAGAAGCTTAGTTACACCAACATAGATAAGAGACTCCTCCTCCTTCTTATGGAAATTCATAATGACATATCGGCCAGAGTAAAATTCGGCCCTCTGGGAGCTCTTTCTGATTCTTTCCCTCTGAATAAAGGGGTCAAACAGGGTTGCCTCTTGGCCCCTTTTCTATTCAATTTCTATATCAATGACATCGTTACAACTATGAAGGCCCTAAATCAATCTGCCCCCTCCTTACAACAGCTCAAGATCCCCATATTACTCTATGCGGACGACATGGTGATACTGTCATTAACCAAGCTGGGTAAACAACACGCTCAGAGGGCTCATGACATATTGTGATACCAACTCCCTTAAAATTAATTTCGCCAAAACCAAAATTCTTACTTTTGGCACGAAAACTCGGAAGTCACTCTGGAATTTTGAGGGCCATTCTATTGAATATTGTTCAGCATTCAAGTATTTGGGTATCATTTTTCAGCATGGGCTTAGCTGGTCAGCTCACCTAAATACAACCATCCTGGCTGCCCGCAGAACCATCAAAGCCTTGGAGAAATTCTACTATGCAAAAGGCGGCCAGCTGGTTCCACCAATCAGAAAAGCATTTATCAGCAAAGTCCTCCCGATGTTACTGTATGGGGTTGAAATCTGGGGGTGGAATTTAAAAACACTACAACGGCTGGAGATTCTACAAAACTCTTTTGCACGGAAGATACTGGGTCTCCCCAAGGGCTCGGTTGCAGCACAGTTAAGAACAGAACTGGGCCTCCCCTCCATTGTTGCGAGAGCCCACATTAGAATTATTAGCTTTTATTGTAAATTAATCAATGCCCCAGGTTCCCTACTAGCCAGGCAAGCCTTTTTAACTTGTTCTCAAAGCAATAAATGGTCCAAGGCCATGGTGACTATTACTGCACGCTACTCTCTTCCAGATCTTGACTCGCTGTCCTCTTGGGACAAACATAAAATCCGGGCCTGGATTCTTACAAGAGACGAGGCCATGGACCGGGCACAGTCCACCTCAGCTCGCCTCTCCATGTGGCTCCCTAAAGTGAAAGTGGTAAGATCACTTGCCAACTACTTGACAGACCTGACGGAGCCCAATTTGAGAAGAGCGTTTACTATGGCCCGCTTCCATTCTATACCCACGGCCTTCCTGCAGGGGATTTACTCTAAGACCCCTATTACCCAGCGTCTATGTCCATGCACAATGAATGAAGTAGAGGACTTCATACATTTCTTTTTCTACTGCCCTATTTATGAGCCAATAAGATCTAAGCTCCTCCTTTTGATCCCGTCCACCATTACATCTAAGGAAGACTGTTTGAAATCGCTTCTTGTGGACGCAAATCCCCAAATTTCACGTGGGGCGGCAATCTTCATAGTGCAGGCTCTGAAACTCAGGGCTACTCTGACAGGGTAGCGTGCCCTAGACCTGGACCTGTTTTAACTCTTTTATTACTTTTAACTCAATGTGCCGAGTCTGTTCTGGGGCCATTTTGTGCTTTATATATATCCGCATATTAGTTTTTGGCGCTGGCTACTATATCTTTGCATTATTGTCTTCGGGTAACCTAAATGTCACTACGCCAGCAAAATCGCCTGAATTTTGCTTGGTTGCTTGTCTCTAGTTTGTCTTTTTTTTTTTTTTTGTATTGTCTTATTTTGCTATGGCTGTATGCTAATGCAATAAAGGTTTGATTTGATCCACAGGTTTTCAACCTTTGTGAGTTCCACAGCTACTTTGATCAACTACAGTGGTACCTCTGGATGCGCGGGTCGTGATTCGCTGCTTCTGTGCATGCGCATGAAGGTCATTTTGACCGTCTGCGCATGTGTAAGCGGCAAAACCTGGAAGTAACGCGCTCCATTACTTCCAGGTCACCACAGCACGCAACCCGAAAATACTTATTCCGAAGCTACTTCAACCTGAGGTATGACTGTACATTCTTTATGTGGCTACTCTGAGCCTCAGGAGCTGAGTTATGTCACCCCTTGTCTGCAGAGCCGGCAGTCCCTCACCTGTTTGCAAACGCCCCCCATTGTGGAGTGTTCCCTCAGCCTCCTTTCCTCTTCCCTCTTTTTGGGAGTCCTCTGGGCAGCAGCTGCCATCGCCCCTGGTCTCTGAGCTACTCTTCCACCCCAAAGAGAGGTGCCTCCTCACGCCGCCCCACAGGGGCCTTGGAAGAGATTGCCCCCAGCCTTAGTGGCCCAAGGGAGACTGCCCAGAGGTGAACGTGAAGCCAGCACCTTGGAAGGCAGCAGTGAGCGCCACCAGGCCAGCATGGCAGAAAGGCTCCCCTTCAGCACAGAGGAGGGAGGAAAGGAAAGAGGGACAGAGGCCAGAGTTGCTTGCAGCACCCCTGACCATCATTCAAGGCACCCCAGGGTGCCACGGTATACTGGTTGAAAACCACTGCTTTAATCTATAGTCAATGTAATTTTTCTCCTCAAGGCAAGACAGTGGGGAAGCATTATAAAAGGCCAGAAATAGACATTTGTGACTTGGACTACGGACAGACTGTGTTGGGTAGAACTGGGAATCACAAAGCCGTTATAAGTCACTGGACTTTTAAAAGAAAGGCAAAGGCAACAGCACATGTCAAGGGAAAGCTACATTTTCATAGGGTTTCCTATTCCTTTACAACAAATGTGGAATAAAACTAAAAACGAACAA